AAAAATATAGCTAGTGTCACTATGTAGTTTGTGGTAACTTAGGGTGATGTTTCTAATGATACCCTATACATTCATATCCGTTATATCTTTCAAAAGTTAAGCAATAAAAAAAACTTACATACATACATTAATTCTAAAAACAATAGACTCCTTTACGAGAGCAGTTGTGTTAAAATATTCGGGAATCAATAATGAATCTCACCATAGAAATACCTACTGGCATTAAGTCCGCCATTTGTACACTTTATTTGTGCAAAAAAGTTTAAATGAATAAATAAATAAATACTAAAAAAAATACAAAACATGGGAAAGTATCAAAATACTTGGTTTGGTCATAGTTTCAACACAGTATTGTGGACTCGTGACCTTGAACAAGTTGTCGAGAACTCGGAACGCTTTAAAATACCTAATATCACAGAGTGCAAATTTGTCATATGGCTCTTAAAATACACGGAATCGTTATTAACGTGACAGCAGCGCCATCTGGCAGTCTCTTTATTTATACTTATCAATTGTCTTGTTCCATGCAAACTTTCATCCTCTATTTCCACCTAATTTTCGTGATAAAAGGTAGTTTATGTCCTTTCTTAAGGATAAGTCTATTTCTATATTAATTTCCATTAAGATGGGCTCAGTTATTAGGGCATCTAAGCGTAACAACACTTATTTGTTTTACCTTTAGTTCTTCTAGAAACTAGCAAAGTATCGATACTAGAACCATACTATGATCAGAATATATCGAGAGAACTATATACTATATCGAGTTTGCCAAAGCATATGCAGTGATATTTACCAACTATATTAAATCATCATATAAAATATCGCATTTTCTAATCTACAATAAATATCGAGTATCAGTATATCGAAAATTAACAATATCGCCGAAATAAAAATCGATTTTTCATAAATCCCAAGCCTACTCAACAGGCTCATTAATTTTTCGGATCGTGGACACAGCAGTGCACAGGAGTTAACACATGCCGGACCTGAAAAAACAGGTCCGGAATAGAGAAAAATAAAATACCCGCATTGTCTACATATGGCCTGACATATGAGACCCGAAAAAATCGGACCGCCGGACCTGAAAATTCAGTGTAGTGCACAAGCGCCCTAATAAAGCAAGCACTTGCCGACGTTCCAAAAATCTCATCGTACGTAATTGACGTGTAGCTTCAAAGAGAGCTGCCTAAACTGCGCCTCTGCGTTCCGGAAAATACGGACAAATGATAGCTAATCATCCGGGTTTTTCATGTCATTCCGGACTGGAAAAAATCGGACTGCCGGCCCTGAAAATTCAGTGTAGTGTACAAACGCCCTTAGTAGGTGCTTTTTTTTAAAATTATTTTCTTGTTGTGTGTACGTGGTCTACCTGGAGGTTCAGTTATTGTGAAGAAAAACGCATAGAGTATATAAGAATGAATAAATAATTACAAAATTTGGACACTCAGAAATTTCGCAAAGTTATTTTTCAAAAAAAAATAATGGTTTTCTTATATTGGACAATAACTCAGTCCTTTTTTTTTGTAGGGAATTCAATAGATATATTGTCATGTGAAATATAAAATAATCACGAAATAGTTTTGTTTGCAGATGACACTTCAATTTTGTTTAAATTTAAAAGAGGGCTATCTCTAAATGACGATGTCAACAAAGTAGTATATTGTATTAATGTAAATAATCTTCTCCTTAATGAAGCAAAAACAAAATGCCTATAATTTGTATTACCTCATGTTAAAAAAGTAGATATAAATGCGAATATAAAAGATTAGAACATGGGTCTTGTGGATACCACAGTATTTTTAGGATTATCATTAGATTCTTAACTATAGTGAGGCCCACATATTTATAAATTGTCGAATAGACTTAGCACTGCAGCATATGCCGTAATGAAGATACTATGTAGGTTGAGACATAGATATGCCGTACGTAATGTCGTACGGAATCCTGTTGTGGGGAAATGCTGCTGACATACAAATGTTTTTTGTGCTTAAGAAAAGAGCAATTAGATCAATTTATAATCTTAGGATCAGGGACTCTTTAAGGGAGAAATTTAAGGAAATAGACAATGACTGTTGCTTCTTAATACATATACTCGTACCTACGAGAACTAAACATGCGTTCGTAAAAATATTAGTATGTTTTCTATAAAAAGTGATGTACACAATTTTTATACAATAAAATATAAATAAATTAACAGTGCCTGTCACTAGACTGCAAAAGGTCCCAAGCAAAATATAAAAATTAGGACTAGATATCATGCAGTTTAAATCTACTGTTAAAAAAAGCTTATTACAAGGTATCCGATTATATAATAGATGAGAATGCTTGGAATGAAGATATCTCAAAAATTATATTGTTGCCATCATTATTAAATTATTATTTTATAATTATAAGACCATAGTTTTTTTCTCTCTATTTATTAAGTATTCTTTTTAATAAGTATTTTTTTATAGTAGATTTAAACTGCATGATATCTAATTGTTGTATTTGTACCTACTTTTTAACCCGATGAAAGAAGAATTTTTCCGTAGTAGATGAAACAAAACGTAGCCCATTGTTATTGTACGGTCCGAATCGTATTAGGATAGTATAGTCAACGGTCATTCTATAGTCCGAATCGCTTATGGATAACTTTTTGAAAATACTTAGTTATCACTTATCAGCCTAGCAATTTTTAAGTTTTTATTGTAAGACTTAAACGGTATGAAATAAGTGAATCACAAGACGCGTTATTAAATTATTAGGCCAAAATTGGACATGATTCTGTGACATATTTGTATAAAACAACGTGCTATTTGTGCTGTTGACTATCTAGTATTCTTAGATTTAAACTTGTAATATTCTGAAGCCTTTTGTGACTTTTATCAAACATCACTTTACTCGGGACTTGTGGTGATCAAAATTTAACTTAGAATTTTATTTTTACAGACCAGTCCTACTCTGTCTGCAACTTCTGAGGATAACCAAAGTAAATTTTTGACAGAGCTCTGTGGGCAAGCAGTCATCGCGCAATATTCTTAAAAAAAATATAGTATAAACCTAAAGTCCACAATGTATAATGTTATGTTGATTTTTTTTTTATAAATTAATCCATACGTATTTTACTAGATGTTGAACTAAACTAAATGGAATCAAGTATGTAGGTACCTAATGAGCATATTAATATGATATTGGAATGGAATGTGAATCTAACAGATGATTGCGCTCACACCTAAATAAATAATTAATAATAAATCGATCATAACTAAAAACTAGGTCATGACTAGAGAGAGGCAAAGTGTTTCCACCCCGCGAGCAGATAGGGAAAAACTCAGGCAATTCAACAACTACTTCATCGTTTAAAGAAATATTAGCCATAGAGGGGTGAAATAGGTGTTGTAAGTTTGTATGGAATCCCGTCATTATTGAAATAAGAAACGTGAATCTTTATTTTTGAGCTACTGATTAATAACTCATTAATATATAGCCTCTGTCAGTCAAAGACGAATAAAATGATAATATGCTAATCAGTAGTCCAAAACAAAAAAACTTTCATGTCTTTAATATCAAAAATCACAGACTTCCGTGTAAACTTTCAATCCTTATTACACTCCTTCTAGATTAGGATTTCCACAATCGTTGTAATAGGTATTTACTAATTTAAATCACAACTTAGTAAATTATTTAATCTTTCGTAAAATTTTCAAATAAATTTTGTTTAATTATATAAATGCCCATTGGGCGAAAATTTATGGGCGCTTATCGGGAAAAAACCAAACTCCCCAGCATTTTCCCATCTCTGCCATGATATAATCGCAGATACTATAATATAACGAACACATATATAACTGTGTTTTTTTTCAACTACTGCCGTTTATGTAAACAAAATAAGATAGAGAGAAGAATTAAGGAAGTTAATTATGCATAGGGATATACGCTGTTGCAATATTTTTTTAAAACCTTTTTTTTTGTACATACGAAGTACATAATGTATATCTGACGTTCAGCCGTGTGTACGTAAAACCAAAGTAAAAAGCAAATTTTTAAAAACTTATAAAAACATACTTATATTTATACCGGATAAATATTTTCTGTGATGATGATAGCAATTTTAACCTAACTTAACCGACTATTCTTGAAGCAATTCCTTTTTATTGGGGTCGCAGTTCTAACTTAACCTAACCTACTGTTCTGGTAACAGTTCGTTTCATAAGTCATTTAATAAATTTTCTTTTATGTTATTCCCTAAGTTAAAAAATAGTTAATCAAACAAAACTAGTATCATTTCAATCCAATGTATAATTTAAAAGAAATACGTTGTAAAATATATAGACATACGTACATAATATACACCTATAAAATGTAGCACACGTGTTTAGAAGCTCTTTTTGAAGTTGAATAATGACGTCATAAACAAGAAAGTAGAGGGATTACATCTTTTGAAGTTGGGTAAAAAAAAAAATTATTAGACGTTCTTTTAAGCCTGTCAAGTTATTACTCCTTTTATAAGTGGCTTAAATTTTAATGATTTGTATCTTCAATGCTTCTGAACTGATTTTGTTGAAACGATGTAGTATCCCCTAAGTTAGAAGCTAAGCAATTAACAAAAAAGTTAGTTTAGCAAATAGTTAATAAAATTTTCCTCCATTTCATAGATCTGTTAAATTTTGCCACCTTTTATAAGTAATTTAAATTTTATTAGTTTATGTCTTCAAAACTATTGAACCGATTATGATGAAACTTTACCCTAAGTTGGAAGCTAAGCAGTTAAACAAAAAAATAATGATTGTAATCCGACGTATAGTTTGCGAGATACTCGTGGATAAACATACATACATTTTTTGTTTAACAACTAAGGGTTCACTTAAGTTTCATCAAAATCGGTTCAGTAGATATGAGGATATAAATTATTAACATTTTAACAGGTAGCTGTGAGTATGAGCGTGAGCAAAGAATTAAATCAATGCGAGGTATAATGAGTATCAACCAAAGAAAAAAGAAAAAAGTCGTTGCTTGTAATATTATTCATTAATGATTTCCTTTAAAACTTTACAATCATCGGATCTCGAACACTTACACAATGCTGAAATAATTAAGGAGTCATGCAATCCTTTTTCTTCTATTTTATTACACAAGCTGACACCATCGATGCCAAGTTTCATTTTGCCATCTCCATTCTGAACAAATCGTGCTGGTATAGAATATCCTTGAAAGACAAAATAAAGACTTCCATCTAAATCTATATTGTTGTTGTTTACTATGTATGGCCTATGAGTGGCGCCTTTGGGACTTTTCCAATTATCATATTTTAAGTCCTGATTTTCTAATATTTCGTTGCGCTGAATTTCATTGCTAACATTGTCATTTATAGAATCTAGTGTTTCTATTTTTGTGTTGGACATATCTTTGTCATAATACATTGTCCTGGTGGTAATGGGTGGTGTTGTGTTGAAATACTCATCATCTTTAGGTATATGTTTTGTAATTTTATTCGTCTGAACAATATTTAAACCTTTTGTAATATTCAGTGATGATAAACTGTTGTTTCTCGTTATGTATTCATGAGTAAATGGAGTTACCTGATCACTTTCATTGGGTTTATTGGATGTAACCGAGATGGAAGTTAAATCGGTATTATTTATTGCTACATGTTTTCCTTCTCGATCTTTATTATCATGAAGTTCAGTATACTGATTATTTAGACTTGTGGTACTGCTGGCTGTGTCGAAATAATTTGAGGAAGTCCTACTTTCTAATTTACCATTGCCTTGTGAAGATGAGTTAATATCATTATCTGTAGTAGTTGTTATGCGATTGTCATAATATTTTGTGGATAATATATCCACTTGATATGATGACCTATTATGCTGGTTCATTGTCTTTGTTTCGGTAGAATACGTCGTACTTTTGAATGTAGTTTCATTGTTAATATCGTTAAAAATTTCTACCGATTGATTAATTTCATTACTGAAATCGAGTACTTTGGTAGATTTTTCACCGGTGTTTTCATTTTCTAAAACATTACTGTCATTTATAGCAATAATTTCATTGAATGATGAACTTGCCGTTGTATTTAATTTATAATTTGAGTCTAATATGGTGGTTTGTGTTATTGGATTTTCCGTGTATAAGTAATTGTGTGTTTTTTCTACTGATAGTAACGATGGTGTAGATATTAAGTTGGAATAATGTTGATTAAAGTTTGTAGCTCTGATGAGGTCTTTGATATTGTTTAATGGCATTTCTATATCATTAAATTGACTTTTCGTTGATCCTGCATATTTACCCAATTCTGTTTTATTAACGTAAACGCTTGTTGAAGAGTCCTTATTTTTACCTTTTACTGAAAATACCTCTAGATTGAGTTTATTGTTATTTGAATCGGGTTCAGTTTTCTGAAAATTGTTTTCAGCGCGAGCTTCGTATGTGGCCTTTGTATCAATATATTTCGTCGTTAATATTTTTTTGATTTCTTTGAGACTAGTTTTAACAACTTGTGTCAAGTGGCTACATTTGCTTTGGATTTCTTTTTTTAAGTCTGAATATGAAATGCCTAGATATTTCTTGAAATGATAATCATTTAAATATTTAGAATCTAGGATATACTTATCATCCTTTTGAAGGTCTGCAAGAATATGTAAATTTATGCAATCCATTAAATTTTGTTCTAATTCTTGTACGTTTCCAATATGTTTATCTAAACCAAACGATTGTTGGTTATTATAAGTTTTAACAATATCTGTGTTCAAGAAAAAAGGTTGGGTTTCGATCGGTGTACCCAGCATTCGTGATTCTTCTTTTTTTATTTTTTTAGAACTGCTGAATTCTAAAGGATTTTGATTATCAGAACTTTTTAGTGTTTTATATATGTGATTATTGTCTTGTTTTATAGAATCGGGTGTATGTATGTAAAACGGTTGTTTTAAAAAGTATGAACTATAAGCAGACAACTCAAGTGGTTCATAAAATATTGAACTATCGTCCATTACTACAGCTCGTTTTACATGTGGACTTGAAAAAGTTGTGCTGCTTCTGATTACATCTTCAAGAGAGCAAAGACATACCATAGGCCTCCCATTACTCCTTTGTGACCTTGAAATAAACGAAAAAATATTTTAATTAAAAATTTTGTTTTTTTGAGCCTACCGAATATTTAGAGAATATAGTATTATATGTAATTGGTAAAATAAATGTAATAATAAATCTTTATTCTTTGATATTACGTATTTTACACTACTACCCAGTTTATATTTTACAATTATCTACCTACCTACTTATGTAAGGGAAACTTGGCAAAGTAAATACTCGAATTCTGGCCAGTATTTCAAAACGATGTGCTCGAGCACTACTATCGTATGTGACAAGGTTCTCTACTTTATTCCCAATTGTAAGTTTGTAACCACAGAACATCTATGTTCTGTGTTTGTAACCAAAAATAGTGTATAATAAAATACCAAGGGTTGCAGCACCTGACCTCCACACTGGGTACTGAATGATGTAATTAATACTCCAACATACTGAAATATCAAGTTTAGATAACTCTAGCACATTTTCATTAGAATATGCTGACTGAAAATCCTGGTTCCTGCACTAATTTAGAAATTGCATTCTAAATAAATATATTTCCGTACATACATGAAACTAAAAATATGATATATGTATATACTAAATACACTCATATACTGACTAAGGTACTTATGATTTTAAAGTAAGATAATTTTTGACTTTATTACTCACATCTATAATATATAAAGCTTTCGTATATATAGACGAGATAAATAATTACCTACTTGAGCTAATGCCATAACTTAGGCAAACATTGGAACTGGCAATACCTGCCTGCTAATATTATCGTTTAAACTTTTGAAAATTTTACTACATTCAAATTCTTGTGCATTTGTGAAAATATTTGCTTAAATTACGACATTTTTTCAAGTAATTAGGTAGGTGAACATCTTTCTACTATATTACGAGTGTAACGTCAATGTTGATAATTTAAAAGTTCGTAGGTAACCTAATTTATTCATAATTATTTGAGTGACATGTATGGTACGGGTCAATATTAATAATTTTCCCTATTGGGGTCCCTAAGTCATACCTATAATCATCTTCTCTGCGTTTTGTGGTTTAAGCCAAAGCAAACTTCCTACACTATTACTACCAAATATCAAAATTCCTACTTCCGACAGACAGTTATCACAGAATCTCGTAGAACACTTCTTATTAAAGAAAAAATTAACAACTTACTTGCAAATGTCTTCACAGCCTATAAAAGCCTCAGTGAAGTTCAGAATGGCTATTACGATGATCGTACGCATTGCTATTGTGTGATTCATTGAACCAGTTTTCAATTAACGTCTTACCGAATTAATTAACGCTGGATCTATTAACCACGGTCTCGGATCCGTCACAAACGTTACTAACCAATCACTTGAACTGTTATTTTAATTAAATGTGTTTATAACACATGCGTCAGCTGATGGATCGCGCTTGCATTTCGAAACGTGCCGAACAAAGATTTTAGCTGGTTAGGTACATAATAATATTGCTTTAAATTATGTATTTCATATTTCCATCTTATTGATTCTTCGATACTCCCGTCTCGTTTTCTAAGTGAATGTAAACAAAGTCTTATCTTCAAGTTGATGATGAACTTCATGCAAATTGTAAGAATTCTATTCGTCATTTACTCACGTCCGTTTTTATTAAAATGGTAAAACGTTTTTAATCTAAAGGTAAAACAAAACACTTAATTTCAGAAAAATAGAATCTAATTCAAACTTTAAAAAAGTGATGAATAATAATATTTCAAAAGCGACTTATTCAAGAAAGTGCAATTGAAGACGGGCAGAAATTCTGTAAGGCATTAATTAAATGATAGGCACCTGACTTCAATAGCACTTTCTTGAATAAGTGGCTTTTTATATGAGTATTATTTAATACTTCTTAAAAGTTTGAAGTCGGTTCTATTTTTTGAAAAATGTTTTATTTCATGCTTTTGGTGATACTGATTTTTTTTGTAATAGTTAACATTAAAAATATTAAATATCTATGTAAATACAAATCTCAAACATTCAGTATTGTAGAAGCTTCAAGAACATTTTAGCGCGTGCTAATTAATATTCATGACTAGCACGATATTAATGTTGTAAGCGTTTGTTAACCCCATGGAGCTAATACAAAGAGGAGATGGCCTAATGAGATTTGCCTATATAAAATTGCGTGACATTTTGCGGGATGAGGGGAGCCTATGCCCCACCCACTTTTTTAATCTCCATCTACCGGTAAAGAGCAAAATTACTAGCTTCATTCCATATCGATGTTACTAATTAGTTCAGCTACTTCATACTAGATGTCGCAAGAGTAGAATACTCAGGGACGTACTCAAAATTTCCGTACCAAGGTGTGAATTTAATTAAAATATTTTTTTGAACACTATTTTGATTGACCTTTTTACCCGACTGCGTGTCACAAACGAGGGTAACGTTTTATCGCTCTATCGGCGCTATAGTGATGAAAAGAGCTAAGACACACAAATGACATTTAAAGCAATGAATAAAAATATTAAGACAGGGCTAAAAAAATAAAAAATATTTTAAAACAAATCTTTATTGGTTTTAATCAAAATATCCATAATGATTTGTACTATTGTAAATCAAATAATTACGAAGATGACTTCTTTGGTTCGTTAGTACATCATACCTTCAATGAATGAACATAAGTCTATTTCGGTAATTCAATTACCTGCAAAAATAACTGTTTTGGTCAGTTGTTGTCGGTTTGTTGTCCTATCATTTTCTATGGTTGCAAAATGCTTAAAACGAATATCAATATATTTTTCAGCTATAGATTTCATCAGCAATATAATATGATTATCAGTAAGCGACTGGTCAAACATATGTATATTCGATTGTTTGAAATAATCTTGTCCAATAAGGGACTTTAAAGTATTCAGTACAATTTTATGTTTACGTAAATTAGAATTATTCCAAGATTGTGATTTGAAATAACGTATGTTGCATTCGGTTCGTAAACATATATTTATAATATCTTTAGATGGAAAAGTAAGACCACCTTTATTTTTAGTCTTTATCAAATAAAGATCGTCATCTTCGTAGTTATCAGCATATAATTGTTGAAGGCAGCTCTCACATTTGATCTTGGAATGTAAATAATTGACTACATATCCAGAAATATATGCAATTATTTGACGTTCTTCCAAAAAACTGAAAATTGTTTTTTAAATACAAATTGCATTGTAACGAACCGATATATCCAGTTTTAAAGAAGGTAAAGTTTCCTTCTTTAATTTTTTTAGACCTTTTTTTGACATGACAAAGTCTTCATCATTAAAATATGGCAAGAACAAATTTTTGTATATTTGTTGGGTTCCAGTCTCGTCTATTAATTTTTGTCATCCATTGTTGTTTAAGATTATCATCCGATGGAAATCTGCAACATAATTTAAAATCAAATAACCTATAATAACTTTTTTGTGTACATACTAAAACATTTTATTTAAAGTAAGTTTTATTTTATTAATAACAAAATGACTGTTTCGTTAAGCAAAACTTTTTAAGTATTTCCAATTTATGTTATAAGACTTAGCGTTCCTCGGTAAAATTATAGGAATCTAATTACAACCCTGTCTTTTCTAACTTCTATGTTTATGTACCGTTGGCCGCCATCTAGTGTTAAATGGATTAATTATATTTGGCCGCCTACTTAAATTGTTCTGGAACTTTTAATAAATTACGTACACAATTACTTACACATGAAATGTAATGCCATCCATAGCATCAAATCGTCTATCCGAGTAGTTTTTACACGATAAAACGCAACACTTCATAGTTTTCTTCTTAGTAATACAAAACTACACTAAATATGCTAATGTCAATCACGGGGACCTCACAATACCAAGACGGACGAACGCTGGCAGCATACTAACCTAAGCCACGCCCACTTTGATGACGTCAGGACCTACTTGAGAATCACAGTGCACAGTTGCTTAGGCCATCTCCTCTTTGTATTAGCTCCATGGTTAACCCCAAATAGGACCTAGTTTTATCAGTTTCATTCTAAAAACATTAAATAAGGGATCTAAAAATGATAAATCAGCTCGATAGTTGAAATATATACCTAAACGTCGCTTTCATGTACTGAAATAATAGTGTCTGTAACCTTTATGTCATCAATTGGTGATATAAAGGTACTATTAACTAAAACATGTTTATAGTGCTAGTGATTTTCATCATATTTTGCTTTTCACGTTTATTTTTGTTAGAAAAAATCTGACTCGTGCTTTATATCATTCGATATTCTATGTAAAATATAATATACCTATTGAAAGGACAAATTACGTCACTCAGTCATGAATTCTACGTACGAAAATAATCCTATCAGTTAAATAAATATGCTGATTTCAAATTTAACAACCCGCCCTCACAATATCTATCTATTTATTTATTTAATCTTTATGCTTATAACATAGCAATGGCGGACTTAATGCCAAAAAGGCATTCTCTACCAGTCAAACCGGTGAAGGTGTACAGAGCATTCAAAAGGCGGTATCATAAAAGAACAAAGTTACAATTTATAACTAATAATACATACCAACAAATTATATATAACTAGTGGACGCCCGCGACTTCGTCCGCGTGGAAGTCGGTATCCCGTGGGAGTGAGAAGTTTTCCCAGTAAAAAGTACCCTATGTGTTATTCTGATGTATAACCTATATTGCTGTAAAGTTTTATCCAAATCCGTCCAGTAGTTTTTTCGTGAAAGAGTAACAAACATCCATACATCCATACTTACAAACTTTCGCCTTTATAATATTAATAGGAAATACAAATATATATATATATATATATGTGGATGTCGGCGGAGAGGTGGGCAAATAAATTGAATTTTTTTTCTAGGATAATCTTTATTTTCCACGATTTAACTATTTATTTTACACTGATCCCCTGACTACTTGCTCACCTTGCTTTCTTAAAAATCGCCATCTTTCTTTTTTCATATCTTCCCTTTCATTTCCACAAAACTTGCCTCTCTTTCATCCATCGTCTTACGTTCCATTTCCCACATTCGGCCATCCTACATATGTGGATGACCACATCCACTCATACTCATCTCACAAACAACAATTTTCCATGGTTAATAAATCCTTACATTCATTTCATCAGTCATTCACACAGTTATACTACAATCCAAATCTCACAAAAATACAATTATGTTAGGTATTACTTAGCCTAGTTCTTATTAGAAACAAATATTTATTTTTAAATCTTATCTTCTATTAAAATGATAGTACAGATGACTCGGTATCTATTCTTCGACTATTCTTGGTATACATACAAATCCCTTTCTACTTTATATTACATAAGAAACAATTGTTAATTCATTCAAACTGCTTTTATATTTATGAAATTAATCAAGAACAATGACTTTATACAAGTTACATAAAAAGTAAACTAATAAGTAGTTATTGGTAAACTGTTACATTTCCTGGCATAACATAATTACAAAGTAAGTTTAGGAAGACATCCCCTTTTTTTAAAAAAATGATAAGTAAGTTGTATTTTAATGACACTTATAATAGTTCAATATCCTAAACAAAATACATTTGTTATAATAACTTAAGAAAATGGATGAGATACAAAATACACTGATTTTCAACACAAATAATGGTCACAAAATTCTCAGTCAAGCAATTTACCCTGGCCACCTTTTCATATGATCTGCAGCAGTGGAAGTCTTCCACGGCCCTTCCACAGAACTATCAACCTTTACCACATCATAACGATCATTGCAATGAACACTTACCACTTTATATGGGCCTAGGTACTTTGGTTTCAACTTGGAGCAAGTACCAAACTGGGTCTTCTTTATGGCCACCAACTCACCAACTGAGTACTTAGTGCTGTCCTTCCTCTTCTTATTGTAATGTTTTCTATTTTCTTCCTGTACTCTAAGTATTTGTGCTTTAGCTTTGGCTCTTAATTCTTCTCTATTTTGAGTAAATTCTTCTAAATTTTCTTCCTGCAATAATCTGTGAATTTCTATATCTTCTTTCTGGTTCATTCTTGTGCCAAACAATAATTCAAATGGTGATGTCTCAATGCTTCTTTGGTATGTACTATTTATAGCTCGTTGTAATCTACTTACATGTTTGTACCATGATGTTGGTTCTTCGATGCACAGTTTGGTTAGCACAGCGATAATTATGCGATGAATCCTTTCAACTTGCCCATTGCCTCGTGGAATGCCTGTTGTTATAGTGACATGCTGTATATTTTCTTCATGACAAAAGTCTGT